AACAGTTGCCGTTCATCAATCCATTTTTGCGATGCGACACGCATTCTACTTCCATTTGTAGTGGGTGGTAAAAAAGTCCTGAGCCGTTTGACACTTTTTTGTTCTTTGCTTTTTTATTCCACGTAGAATGGAATCTACCCAACAATATAATCACCATTGCTACCCACTACAGAGTCCCACCTAATGTGCAGTTCAGCGACTTCCTTCTCCCAGAACAGAGCAGACTGAGAGTCAAAGAAATCGCTGACCGCTCTTCCAACTTCTTTACCTTTGGTGAATTCTTTCTTCGCTAGGGATCCCTTAAGGGGATAGAGTAAGTGATAATCAGAGAAGGCAATGTAAGGGGAATAGGGTTGATGGGGAACCGCGTCCCAGATCAGCTCTTCCAATTCTGCACGGGTCTCTTTAACTTTGTGGGGCCTGGCGTCATCGTGGAGTAGGTGGACAGAAGTTCGTCTCGGTCGTTTTTCTTGAACAGCGTCCGCTAGTTTCTAGAGCAGACTGGCGTAAATGCTGCCGGTAGCGGTATGTCTTTACGGGAGCATATCATAGTACAGCATTCCTCACGAATCCCAGAGGTAGCAAAGGAGACAGCTTTTGGGGTGAAGGTCCGATTTTGCTTGTGTCGGCAGGCCCTCTCTTCGAGGGAGCCACACGGCACCGTGCTTGTTAGAATCGTATAGGACCCCACTCTCATCTCTCGTAATCACGCCTTCCAAAAACCCCTTTCGGTGCGGGCAAAGAAGGAGAAACTGACAAATGGGTACCCGCCTGAACCGCGTGCTATCGGTCAAGACATGAGGAATCCATTGAGTCACCACTTTCCTGTGGCGAGGTCGTGAAGGGGACCGAGGACTGTGGGATGGGTGCACCCGAGTCTTATCACAAGGCTGCGGGTGCTAACGTCCGGATCCTCTTCGACAGCGCCGAGAACGGTGGAGTCTTCTACCTTTTGTGGGCTTCCCACCTTGTCTTTTCTTTGAGCGTGTCTCGCCTCAGCCTTGCGAACGAGAGCTTGGCTGATGATAGAAGTGCGTTGATCCTTCTCCATGCGATGCTGGTAATGTTGACGGTTGCCACTGCTCCTGTGCCGCAGCGCGATTCATTGAAGATGATCGCTCGAAAGTGTTCTTGTGGAATCACCATCATTATTAAAGTTAAAGAAGGCAACCCGGCAATATATACCTATTGCGGAGAAGTATGATCGACAACGATAGTCTATCACGTAGCAGATTCTAGGTATCGACCAATAAGCGAAAGTTCTGGAGCTTTCAAAAAATCGGCTCAGGACTTTTTTACCATCCTAATATATTTTGAGAATTTCCTTAAGCGAATAGCTAGCATTAGTTGGCATTATGACATTAATTAAAAAGTTTACCTTCATCCAGTTTTGGCATTTGTCGTTGATGTTGTTTGTTGAAATTATATCGAGAACTTTTTTGCATCGAACAGAGGACGACTTGGATGCTATTTTTTTGTGATGGGCGTTACTGTCAATAAGCTGTTGTTAGTTACTGAAATGTCAATGACTTTCAAGAGCGGCAACTAATTTTGAAAATTTTCATTCCTGGTGACTCAAAAATATAGTCCTAAATCCAGCTGATCAATTCGCACTGTATAACCATCAAATTTTCAGGTGGTGCCTAATTCCACCAGGCATCACTGGCGGAGTCTTATGTTCCAGTTGTGGCCAGGTTCGCAAGAGTTTGTCTTCGTTCATCACACTTTGTGCTTAGCTCTATATCAGTAAGTGTTTAGAAGGTCTTGCATTTAGTTTTTCTCAATGAAGTCTATTTGCAGCCAAATTGTGTCAAATACAATGTTGTTTACTATCATTGTTCTGTATTTACCTTTATTCGCATATTAAGGCTCGACATGGCAGTCTGGATGCTCAACCTTCACCGGGGTCAGGCAGCGTTGGTAACCCATCGCCGTCATATTCCAATCATTCATCACCGTCTATTGTACAGTTGCATAATGGACACGGACCTCCTGTTAGTAAAATATTCACCGAAACGTTCCTCCGTATCATTTGCTTCATTCTGATATTGATGTTTGAGAAGTGCACGCATTTTTCAACTTTCCAGAGCTCCTATGTGCAAAGTTCTACGATGCATTCTCATGGTGTGCAACCAGCGGCTCGTTTCTCTTCAGCAGTACCTACTCAGGATCACTTGCAGCATCAGGTCACCATCGGGTCTTTATCCTCAGGCTCCAATAAGCAGGTTTTTCAGGTGAGTTTTTTGTAATTTCATGTTGCACATTGTTCGGATGTCAACTCGTTCAAATCGATTTCACCCAAAATCATTTTCAGCATGATGTTCTATCGCGATCTGTTGGCACACCTCTTGTTGCCGCTTCACCACAGCAGGTATCAGTTACTACAGTTCCTCCTTTATCAAGAAAAACCTGGGCTTGTGTGGGAAAATATAGGTCGTGGCGGCGCGCGGATTTCTTGGCTAGCTTAATTGGACTACCGCAGAAGTTTGCAAATCAGTCAGACAGAAAGAGTGCACTTCAAGGACCATTAATATCGCGACTTGATTTCAAAATTTATTTAACGGGTCATTTGAGATTTCTTGTTTCCCGTTCCAGAAATATCAAAAAGTACTATTGTTTTTTTTTTGGAGAGCGGAAGAGGGTGGAAGGGAGGTGGGCTGGGGGCGTTATAGAAGAAAAAGGGAACAAGGAGGAAGAGGAAAGGACTTGTGAACCCTTCAGCTCTCATTTTATCCGTAGAGCATTCTTGAAATGATATTTGAAAGCACTCTCCTGAGAATCCTCCTGAGTGCCTCCTTCTATTTCGAACTAAACATAAACCCATTGAAGGCTAAACATGAGTAAGCGAATTTTCTTGGTGCCTTCACTCAAAAGCGCGACGCCTTGATCGCTGTGCCATCGCAATCAGGATGCCTTGATCTATATTCGAAAATTTATTATTTGTTTCAGCGAAGTTTACCTGTCACGGCTCAATTGCAGCAACCCCCGTCAAGTCAGCCTACTTCGCTTCTGCAACAGCAGTTGTCTTCTCGACCTTCGCGGGCGAGTTTTTGCAAGTGTTCCACATTTACTTTTGAGTTGGTCATTAAAAGGCGAAGAGAAAAGTCATCGAGGACTTGTCTTTCAGGTTTCGCATGCCACTGCAACACCCGGGGCTCAGGGTAATGTTCTTATTCAGCAGCAACCTCTTCCTCAAATCCCAGTAGGACCGGCTCAGCAGAATGGCCAGCAGTGCTCTTCAAAGGTACACTGAATGTTTTCAAATCATTTGTGTGTCTCCTCGTATAAAAAGGTTGAGGACTAGACAAAGTTGCTTTTTTTAAGCCAAGAGCAGCTCCAACCCAAGAGAGTTTGTCTCGTCAACTTCAATCTGCATCGAGTGTACAGCAACAACAGCAGCAGCAACAGCATGTAGTGATGGGGCTGCTTCATGGGGCGCAACTTCAGGTTGGCACTCACAATTGACATTTTTTCTTCACTATGTAATTATTGAAGCTTAATTTTCAGCAGCAACAAGTCGATGGTGCAGCAGGCTACGGCTGTGCAAATGTTTCAAATCCACACGTTCGCCAGGTTTGTTATGAAAAAAAAACTACTTTTTGCAAAGTCTTCTTAGGCAGTACTGATGAAGTTCCTTTCCTAACTTTTGCTTCACGAGTGATGCTCAATTGTAGACGTTAGCACTCAAACGTATTTTGTTTATATTGACGTTTTTTTGAAGATTTTGAATGGATTGATTATTCAAAACAGTTCAAAAATCTTTTCTTTTTACCTGCTCTATTGGAGTAGTTGTTTCCTAAGTATTGGTGCTTACAATAACAATTGCCGATTAAAGATTCTGGCATCAAGAACTCCTCAAGTCCTCACGGGTCCGCCTGGCTCTTCTGGTACTCAGCAAATGGTTGGCGTAATTTTTTTATAATTGAGAAGTTTATGTACCGCGTTATTGTTTCTCTGTTTGAAACCGGGGAATTAATGTAATTTAAAGGTCGCTACGCATTCGCAGACATCATCTCCTCCAAGAATGTCGCCTTCTACTCTTCAACAACAGGTGATTATTTTTTGATTTGGACCATCTCGTTTACCTCTGATATTGAGTCGTTCTTCCAATGTTTTCACAGATGTCACTGTTAAGCGTACCCAAATGATAAGTGCAACGCTCTTCCTAAAATTTTGACCCCCAACTCAAGCCACTGACTCTGTTATGTATGGTTTACGGACTACTTGATTTTTCCTCAATGGTCCTGCCGCGATGGCTAGAGCACAGACGATTAGAGAACGGGTGAATGCCCTAGGACTAAGCCTTGGAGAGGAGAGGGACCCGCGAGAGAGCGCAGAGGCGGTTTAAAGGGCTGAGTTCAAGTAGTCCGTCGAACCTGTTGTATCGACCATTTTTTGAAGGATTTTAGCGAGTAAATTCACTGCAAACCCTATCGAAAGTGCTGTTTCCTAGAGGTTGGATGGGGTTTCCTCCATACATTCAATCATTTTTATGGTAAAAAAAAACGCAGTGAAGTGGTCGGGATGGTGCGGAGGCTGTTACTATCAGTTTAAGTATTTTGAGGTCATTTCAGGTTGTTGTTCCACACGGTATACTTCCGTCTCAGGCCAACCTACCGTTACGCAGTGTGCTGGCGGCACAGCACCAGTTATCTCAACAGCAGTTGCTACAGCAACAACAACGACCGCCCCAACAAGTTCATGTGCAACAAGCCCAGCCACAGCAACCAATACGTTTGGTATGTTGTTTCATCCACAGAATCCATTAGGAATTATTATTACCTGTTTTAGGCTGGACGTGTAGTGGGTACTGCGTCAGGTGCGCTAGCAACACTGTACGACACCGAAAAATCCGCACCAGCGTTGACAAACAAAGATGCGTATCGTATCTTGAAAAGGCGTTTCAAGTACCTCGTATACGTAAGTGCTGTATAAGCTCCTTTTTGATACAGCTTTCCTGTTCGCTTAAATATCGTGTAATTCCTTGCTTCGTGCACTCAGTTTTTTTTCTTTAAACGAATGCTACCAGGAAGAATTGAGAAACCTGCAAAGGAAATTGCTAAAATTATCGAGGGATAAAAATTTTCTGCTTGATCGACTTGGGCAGTTTGAGAAGTTCTCAGAGAGTTCCGATGAGGATTCTGATGCAAGCAACAAAAACTTGTGACGAAGCCAAGCTAAGAGTGTTTTTGAACGCCAGCGGTATGACTTGCCTTCCCCGATAAATGATGGTTTGAAGAGGTACTTGTTTGCGCGAAAGGGTGTGAATGTCCGTTAAACTCATAGCATTTTGTAACTGATTTGCCAAAGAAATGCAAAAAAATTGTTCATGACCGATTTGTTCGAATGCAGCATTGTTACATTCTTCGATCCTTAATCAGTTGTTTATAGACGCGTGCGTCCAGCACAGCGGAAACGTGCTGCCGATGAAAGCTTGGAAGGGGCAAGTGTCGTCAAGCGTGCCATTGAAGAAAGTAGTGCTGGTAGTCCTGGTCCCTCCGAATCTTCAATGCTTGATCCACGGTCTTCTGCTTTTGTTTCTACAGCAGCACCACAGGCTGCCACCCAGCCATACGTGAGTTTTTTTCTCGTTTTTTTTTGTGCTTCGGCCCTTGACACGTACTCTTACGAATTTGGTAGGCGGCGTCAGTTTTGGTTTTGTAATTGGCGAGTTGTCGAGCTTGCTCCACCTTCTTTCTGTATAATATATGAGCAATCTTCAAGTTGTCTGGGATTTCCTTAACGGCGCGGCTTACCCTCTTGCTATCCGTACTTAGTTACTCGTAGAAGAGTTTTAGTTGGACCAAGTTTTCTGTTAATTTTTTTGTTGTTCATATCAACCGACCGTTTCTCTATACTAACCTGGTAGTTTTTTTTTCTTCCTGTGTCCTATGATCAGATCTATTATATAATTCACTTTTTTCTCTTGTGTATTAATATCCTCATTCACTTTCCCTCTGTGGAGGTCCATTCACTATCCTTTTTATAAATTATTTTGTGTTCACAATCTTCCTTGTAGCTGGCTCAAAATCTCGATCTGTGTCTATTTGTCTTTTTCTCACTTGGTAGACAATATTACCAGCTATAAGGTAGCTAACTTCTTCTAATCGGCCAAGCGATTTCCTCGATTTTTTGGCTATGGCCGAGCCTGCTTTTCTTTCACACATTTTGTCATGCTAACTCATGGCAGCTATTCTGTTTCATCTCAGTAACTACCTTTGGTTCACTGTTTTTGGACTATTTTTGTTATCATTTCGGCCAGTTTTTGTTTATTTTGCGAGCACTTCTCTTCATTTCAGTGGCGTAGCTGGATTTCAAACCCTTTTCGAACACATTTTTGTTATTATCTATCACACGGTCAACCATCTATTGTGTCGAATTTGCCAGAGTTGCGCCAAAACGATATCTCTTTCCTTTCCTATAGCCACGATTCCTTCAACTTCTATGGCAACGATCCCTCAAAAGTCGCAATTACGACCCTCTCTTACAAAAACTACCAAAACGGCTCTTCGTTAACTGGGCACAGAGGGGGCTGTGCCCTGTCCACCACTCCAGGTCTCCTATCTGAAGTTGTTTAGTGTCGCGTGAAATGTTTCCTTTCATCTTATTCGCTTCTTTGCCTTTTGTGTGGTGTTGAATTTCTCCACCTCGGACTTAAATCTATTTTTGAAAAGTTCATTCGAACCCATTAAGAGGAATAAGTGCTTCTAAAAACACGATTCGATTTGTTCGCCGTCATGGGTTAGAGAACATACTTCTCATGCAGCATTTCATGATCAAGAAGGTCTAAGGGACATCTACATCATTAATATAGTTTTTCTGTCATCGACTTCCTGAACTCATTTCTGTGCTTCTGCTTATTTCGTATTATTTTAGAAGCAGACCAATCCTATGAGTGCATCGTATGAACGAATGACTGGATCGTACACCGTCGCTCCGCAGGGACTCACAGGTGGGCAACCTCAGCAGCAGGTGTTGCGGTCAACTTTAGCCCGTGTTGTTCCATCGACAATGCTGGTGCAGCAGCAGTCTGTGCAACAAGCTCACTCATCTTCAAATCGCCCTGTCGTCGACACACGTCCAATTATGGCTAAAGTCCGAGGTAATTCCACTTCAATATTACAAATTTTTCACCACCTCAAGACGAAATTTCAGTTGAATCCGCTCCCTTGATGAATACTCCCACAGGATATCTGAGTGAGCAGCAAAGGCAGGCTTCACTGTCCAAGAAAGGCGTACCTAGAGATCCTCATAATGCTCTGCCACCAAACCCAGAATTCATCCAGTCTTCGCAAGAAGCGCTTCCTAATCCACCGGTTAACGGTGATGATCACACGCGTAGGTTCACTTCCCAGTTTTGTAATTAAGTAGTGGACCTGTAGCTTCATGGATTCAGTCTATTACACCATGAGTCTTGCTGAGTTTTATAACTGTCTCTCTATTTAAGCATCGGCCATCAATGTTCTTGCTCCGCCAGTGTCGATGGCACCACCTCCTCTGGATGCGTGCCGTAATGCTCAGCCTGGTATATTTCTTTTCTTCATTTACATCTCAGTGTAATCATTAAGCACTGTTTAAGGGTCATCAATGTCATCATACCCTATGCTCAATGGCTTGCTGCCTGAAACCAGTAACCTAGTTGACGCAAAGGAAGAAAGTGGTGCTGGTACTCTTCCTGCCCCGCCAACGTCCCAATATCGGTGACTACAGTGTTCTAAATCACCTCACACCGCCTTTTGGCTAGGATAGAGCCATTGCTACATATCATAACGTCAGTTTAAATGGTGGTGGACTTACGATTCACCTGGGTTTACTCTAGTCTCTTGGTTAGTTGTACGTTTTTGTCGTTGTTTGGAGATCGCTTTTCTACATTTGTTTACGTTTTAAATTTTGACGTATTCTTGAATGTCGGTTTTCTTCTCAGCAAATTTTACCCGGTATTCTTAATCATACGTTACTCAGCTCAACTAACCGATCTCTGTGAGATCTTGTGATTTTCACAAATTTGTTTCCTATCCTAGCAAGTTTACGGAACATAAAATCCAAATTGTTATATTGTACTAACTTTTGCTTATGAAAGTTCCTACACATAGATGTTGTTCATTCGTAGAGTGAATTTCGTAATCCTAACATCGTTTTCTTAATACATAATTAAGTCCATGGTGTAGTGTTTGATCTCCTAGTTTTGTATTTTCCTACTGTGTACAATGTTTCTATTGGTCTACGGTTCACTTATTGGAAAAGTTCTCATCGCTTTCAAAAGTGTAACATGTTGTTAACTTTTGTGTTGCAACTGCCTTTTACGGTTGTGTAATGAGTATTGATGATAATGGTGTGTTGATTTTTTGATTCGTTCCGTCGAAATATCTCGAATTTTTCTGGCATTATTATACTTGTTACTTGCTAATAGACGTTATAGCAGTAAGATGTCCGCGTCAGCGCCTGCCAAGAAAATTCCGGACATGTTCCTTCGTGCGCTCAAAAGGAAGGCTGAGCCAGTGGTCACAAGCGACGTTGGGAGCGATGGAAACATTGAGAAAAAACCTAGGCCTGAGGAACAAGCTCAGAAGGTATGTGGCATCATATAATTGTTTGATCATTTGTCATTCTGACTTCCTTACAGCCTCAGAAGGAGAACATTGTTTCCGGTGACAACTTTACCCTCTTCGATTTATTAACGGAAAAACAGTGGCGCTCAATACTGAGAAATGAGTTCACGATGAAGTATATGGTTAATATTGAGACGTTTCTTCGAGAACAGTATGCCAAGGTATAGTCTTTGTCTTCAAATTTATGCAGTTTTCGAAGCTCGGAAAGGTTTCGCGGCGAACCACGGTTGCTTGTGAAGTGATATGGTTTGAACCTTATTGATGCTTGAATCTATAATAAACTTGTCGTTTTTGAATTAGTAGGTGGCGATGTCTCAAAAGCATCATAAGGTAAGCTTTTCAGAATGAGTGGCCGTGGAATAGAGCTGAGCCTACTAAGTTTGTCTGACGTTCGATTGAGAATAATGCTATGAGGAACATAATTTATCAGTTTAAGAAAAGGAGTGATTAGTGAGCAAGAGCTATGACGAAAATGGTGGCATAGTGGATCATGCCTTCGTACTATTCTGTGCAGTTTGCAGGGGTCGGACGCTGCAATTGGCGCGTTTGCACTCGAAATTGCATCCTCAATTGAAATCGCAAAAAGCGAGTGCAGTTAGAATGGGAAGCATGTAAACAGCAGGACTGCAATCGCAAGTGCATTCTCGCAAATCTCAGAGTCTGACCCCTGCCTTAGGCTGATGTCAGAGTCCGCGATCCGTCGCAGGTTTCGCTGATTTTCGCGATTTCGCGATTTGCGCGACGGGTCACGGAAATCACAAGTGCCCCATCCATACTGCAAGGTGTTCTCCAATCCGCCGTCACTTCTGCTTGATGGTTATGGTTTAATGGAGACTGCTCATGATTCCACTTGTTTCATATCCAGTGTTTCAATTGTTCAAATGGGGCACTTGCAATTTTTGTGATTGGTTTGGTTTGATTCCTGAAAAAAAATAGGAACGATTCAAGAGCATTCAATGAACTAATAGACATTGAACATGAAACAAGTAGAACCACAAACATTCGTCTTCCAATCTTTACTGCCAAGCAGAATTCGCAGCAGGATTAAACAACACCTCGCAGTATTCATCGGGCACTTCCAACTCCTGTGATCCATCGCAGGTTTCGCGAAAATCGCGAAAATCGCGAAATCGCGAAATCGCGGAATCGCTTAGCCGATTGCTTGCTCGAGACGTGTCCACGTACTCCTGGATACGATTGCGAGACATGCCCATGTTCTGAAGTATTTACGAGTCGTTTGCATGACCGTTCTCGTGTGTTGTGGACTTTTTTTATCTGCTTTTTCCTCACATACCACTCGGTTTATCGAAAAAAAAATAAAAAAAAACAAACAAAAAAAACTAAAATAAAGTCTAAAAACGGAACGTGACAGATATCTAAGGCGTTATAAGAAACGGCTTCTTTTATTCTCATGCTATCCATTCACTTCCGCTGATATCATTCAGCCTTCATGTTCCAGAAAGTTCCAATATTCCCTCCTCGTGAAGAGATTTTCTCCGCATTCAACCTCACGCCTTTGAATAAGATTCGTGTTGTTATCATTGGACAGGACCCTTATCATGGGTTGGGCAGGTATGCTCGTAAATGGTTAAGGCAGAGCTCTCTCATCGATTTTGCAAGTGGTTCGAGTATAATGAAATGTTTATATTCAGGCTCACGGCTTATCATTTTCTGTGAAAAAGGAGTTCGACCTCCTCCGTCGCTTAAAAATATCTATAAGGTTGGTTTTTGAAGATGCTTTCCCCTAATAGCATATCATTAAATAACTACGAATGAGTTACGCGTCGTTAACAACAGCCGTTCATCAGTGCGACGACACCTTTTTAATGATTACATATTTCGGTTCAAACTCAATTGTAGAATGTTTTGAAGCAGATCCAAAGAGAAAATTTCTCATTCATCATTGCAAATTCGCATACCAATGTAAATGTAGAATTTTTTTTTCTTGAAGTGCCAGAAAAAAAAACTACCCTGTGAAATTTCTGAGAGAAACCAATAATCGACTAGGTTTTTTTTCACTGCCAAAAGGGGAACAAAATTGAGACTGGTAATACTGTGCCTTCATCTCTTTGAGACGTTGAAAACCAGATCCTCCAGCGCTCAAGTGCTGGTTCTCGATAATTCGGTGTTAGTGGGTAGCTTAGCTTGGCGTAATTCTCTTTTTTCTTTTTTTATTTGTTTTGATTTGATTTTTTGGATTTCGTTGTGATCGTGACCTTTTTTTATTCAGGAGTTGTGTAACGATATTCCCGGCTTCGTCACTCCTGATCATGGGTTTTTGGAGAAATGGGCATTACAAGGAGTGTTTATGTTGAATGCTACGCTGACCGTCGAGTACGTCTTTATTATATTCGGAAAGTAAGAAATTATAAATAATGAATGAATTTGTTTAGATCAGGCAAAGCGAACTCACACGAGAAAATCGGTTGGCAAACATTCACAGATAAGGTGATAAGCCTGATTTCCCTCAACACTACTGGAGTAGTATTCCTGCTGTGGGGAGGATTCGCACGCAAAAAGGAGAGTCTTGTCGACTTGAAGAAGCACGCTGTCATTAAGGTAATTTTAAGCTTTACTATAATACGACGAGTCTTTCTCCGTGCTAGCGCATGCCTCACGCGGTACCACTGAGCCCAGTCCATAGATCGCGGTTAATGCGATTTAGCGATTATGCTGACAGGAAGACATACGTATCGATCTAAATTTGTCGATTACGCGATAAAGCGATTTGGACGATTTGGCGGTTATGTTCAAAGGGCAAGGGTGCAACATTGATTGAACTAACGCCGCCCAGGTACATTTGTCGATGCGAATGTGACGTCTCAATCCGATACGTATACATTCCTTTCAACATAATCGTTATATCGCCAAATCGTCAAATCGCATTAAGCGCAATCTATGAACTGAGCCTTAGCGATGGGGAGTCAGGCGACCGAGGTTTCAATTTTGATTTCGCTCATAACGGATGCGCCTAAACTAGTGTGTACATTTGAGTTCCCGTTCGCTATCTCCTATTCATTTTTCTTGAATCTGGGCTGGAAAGAGCTTTTAATTTGCGAAGTTCACGTTAGGCTGACATGCGCTCCATCTATTGTGAGAATGGGTTTTCAGCACATTTAGGCCGATGTCAGACTTTGCGAATCGCGCGAATCGCTAGTAGCAAATCGCGCGATTCGCGAAGTCTGACATCGGCCTTAGGACACAGCGCTTACCCACACGTCTTCTTGTTTAGTATGTTTAAGACCGCACAGATCTGAATTTTGTAATTTGATTGTTGAATTGCTGAAGTGTCACCTCTATTTGGAGAGCATCAAACCAACAAGAACACCGATGTTTTTTTTCGACTATTATCAACTGCTCGTTACATTATTTTACAGCTCGTTGTGTTCCGTTCTTTGTGTGACTTACCGAAGTCTCTATAAAGGTGTTCCATTCAGACAGCACATCCCTCTCCTTGAGTGCAAGCAAGTGGTTCGGATGCAAATGCTTTTCAAAAGACGAATGCTGAACTGTCTCGCATGGGGCGACCTCCCATTGACTGGAAGTCCCTTTGATTCGTTTAAGCTCCATTTTTTCCATCGTCATAACAATTCTTCTTTCGTTTATTCTCCTAATAATTTCTTTGCTTTTCACATGTAGAGCCTATCTCGTAGTTAACTAATTCAATATTTGACTATTTACGGAAAGTTTTGAATTTGATCGTTCTATATCGTTAATTAGCCGTCTCTCTTTAGATTTTAGGCTCCGTAAAAAGTTGCACAAGTTCGTAGAAGATTCGCATCGCATGCGGGCGACCGTTCGTGCTCATTGGCACGGCTTTTTCATTGGCGTATTGGCTGTTGTTATAGTGTTTGTATGAATTTTGAGTGGTTTTAAAGAATATACGAGGTACCATTCGGGTGAATTCTTATCTCATGCTAAGCGTTTGGATATATAATGTGAAGTTTCATTACTACAATGTTCTGTTTTGTCGCTGTTTTACGGTGATGATTGTGTTTGCATGTCTACATAAACTTAGAATCGACAAGGTTTTTTGTGATTGTTTCTGTGATGTATCAACACTTGTTCTTATACCGTTGTGACCTACGAATCCACATCCAGTAATGTATGATCAGTTAATTTATTACCCTAGTCTCATTATATGATTGCAGCGGGCATGGGATCGGCTACTGCAACCACGAACAGGGCTCTCATCTGCAGACGGCCATTTTTTTGCACTGAATGTCATCGGAAGTTCAAAACGAAGGTGAAGCCCATTGCGTATACATATTAGGTTTCCAATTGAGTTTTGAGACTGAATGCAAAAAGTGCAGCATTCATTAGCTGGTAGCATTTGAAAGCAGTTGATACAAGGAACTGGTCACCGTTAAAATGAATGGTAAGGGTGGTAAATTGTGCAGTGAAACCATGGGAAACGACGCTCGTTAATTTTTGTTCTGGGCTGGCGACCAAGACAAAGTTCGTTTGGACATATTCATCCCGATAGCCGGCACCATGAATAGACGTCATGGATTCATTTGTAGCGAATCATATAGAAAACTTATAGGTAAAGTCGTTCGAAGCAAAATGCTGTTTGGAATCCTAAACGAATGACGAATTGCTTCAGAATGCGACAAGCTTCTGTTATCATTAACCAAGTGGAGGTGGGGAGGTGACGAAGGGGGCTGTAAATATGGGTAAAAATTGCTAGATTCCTGAGGCTGGTCCCCGCGACACGAAAACGCCACGCCTCGGTCTCCCAAGAGCGAGCATCTTTTTAGACGAGAAAAAAATGCCCTTGTCGTTATCCAGTTTGCCATACCACATATCTTTAAAGACGCATAATCACCTGACCAATGCGCTTTTTTTCGGACAAAATCCAACTATTCTCTTTTAGCGAAATATTTATTTGCACATTTCTCCCTCACGAGTTTCAATTAAAAGCCATGATGGGAAGGCAGCTAGTTAAAAATTGAGGTAGAGGTGGTGGTACTGAAGAAATAGAGAAAAGCAGCATACGAAATGAGAAGCAATTCATTTTGATTTTTAGTTGCAGTTCACATCTAAACTATTATGCGATTTTAGGAAGAGCTTTACATCCATGCTGAAGCATGTGTGATGGAGGCGTTTGAAAGTGAGGTCATTGCTGCTTACAGCGACGTTCCGGGTCACGCCAGAATTCGCTATCGTTTCCGATGTACCTCGTGGAAACAGTTCCTTGCATCAGAATTCTGCCGCTGGTCTCGGAATTACGATCAAGGTAAACAGTTTTTTCATTAATCTAACATTTTCTTGTACTTGTATTTACGCTAAACATTAAATCTTTTAACACCCACGCTATAAATACTACGCGTATGCTTTATATCTCATAACAGTTTATCAGATGCTCGAAATTATCGTTCCTTTCTGGTTCCCAAATATCGAAATGCCAGGCAATCGCATCTGACGAATTGTCACACGAGTTCGGAGTCCTTGAGAACAGCACCTCCACTACACACCAAGGAGGCAAAGTCCACCATTCGTACTGGATGTACCGCGTTAGCTTCGATGCAGTGGCTTCAGTCGCTTGGGGAAAATCCAATATGCCTGCAGGTGTCCTCATGTTCATCTCGGGCCTTTCGAAAACAGCTTTTTAAAAGCTTCGGGATTTGTGAGCAGCTTCGGCATGCATCGTTTGAATCCCCTCGTTCCAGAGACGGTCAGTCGAGCGTATTCGAACGGTAGCAACATAATATTCTTGTTCAACTCCAACATTGAACGGTGGGACCGCTGCAGGAAGTTTTGAAAATATGGATCGCACATTGACAGTTTGTGTCGACCGTGATCGGAGCGACTCGATACATATCCACGCACCATTTAATGGTGCAATTTGGCAACAACCGAATGTGCTGGTCAGTCCGATCGGGCGATTACAACCTATACTTGAAAGGAGCGTGTTATAGCACATTGTCGTTGGAACTCAGAAAGTTTTTGCACAGAAGGACAGCCTTACCATCCTAAAAGCCTCTTCATTTAGACGTTGTGTGACAACAAAAAAGTCAAAAATGCTGCATTACTGAAAACAAGAACATTACAGAAAAAAACATAAGCGGATTAGAAATCGAGGAAACCGACGAGATTTTGCGGGCGCGTGCGCTTTCCGTAATTTGCGCCCACCTTGTACTATGTTGCAGTAGTGGTATAGCATAGTGAGGGGGGGGGGGGTGCTATCGAGTGGCTTCATAAGGAATTCGCTCACTGTAAGCTAATTCCATTCTGAAACCGCTTGATAGTACCTCCATTACTAGGCCGATAAGCTTAAGCATTAAGTAACAATGCGAGCTACTCTAATTTTTCATCATCTTTTTATCATTTTCATCTTTGCATTTCATGTTTGTGTCAACGCTTACGTGTGTACTTACCTGGGGTTGAGTGTGAGTAGCATTCTGTCAACCTTGTTATTCTGTGAGCGTGCATTTGATATTGATTCTCTTTGTTCGTTTAGTTGTTTAGATACGGTAGCCGTTGAACATTGAATAGTTGAACAATGAATAAAACTCAATTTTGAAAGGTGACGTGAAGTGACACCCCCTGGTTCATTGATGGGTTCATCGGGGGAAGGGGGCGACGATTTCATTTCTATTCTAACCTTCCATTTTCCAACTGTTACCTTAACGCCATTCTGAATGCCGTTGAATTAGTCTGGGAATATTCCAGAAGTCAAATACTGTAGAACGTGAAGAGTTCGTTACATTGAAAGTTGGCGAAGAAACATTGGACAGTGGTGCACATGCAGTCGACAGCCATTTTTCTGATGGAAAAGATGATTTGGATCAATATCGTCCAAAATTAATAACGTATAGCAGGTGAAATATGAAATCTGTATTATTTCACTGTGTCGACGGCGATTTATATTATCATAATATGTAATTACAGTAAAAATGATGACATAAGTCGAGCTCAAATGTTAGAAGGACCGGGTGGATTGAAACTCGTGGTTTCCGTGGAAAAGGCGAATGAGGTGAGTAGTGGCTTCTGATTCCCCATCAATGGCTGGATCTAAAGTGATGAGCTAACCCAATCAATTCTCAAATGAAAGTGATCTTTTGAGTAATCACCTTCTGATTCACAAGAATGCTGGGTTGTGAACAAAACTTTCGCCCCAGGCGGGACTAGAACCCGCACCTCTCGCTTTCCGGGCAAGTGCGCTACCAGTTACGCTACCGGGGCACCATTTCGCCCTAACTCAGCTTTTCGTATATTTACCATAGCATATCAGCACAGCAACCGGCTGATCACTTCAGATGTTTGAGTGCTGACAAGCTGTGCTATATATCTGAGCTGGGGTGAAATGGTGCCCCGGTAGCGTAACTGGTAGCGCACTTGCCCGGAAAGCGAGAGGTGCGGGTTCTAGTCCCGCCTGGGGCGAAAGTTTTGTTCACAACCCAGCATTCTTGTGAAACATTCGCAACGCGAACTGCGGCGTTAAAACAGCAGTTAACAAAAAAACAAGTCATACTGATTTTTCAAGGATTTGGACTCACCACCATCACTGAGCATGGAAGAGACAGCGCACTCACAAAATGTTGGCAGCGAAGTCAGCAACTCTGATCTCGATGGGTTTTGGGACGACGACGAGATGCTTCAGGAGAACGAAGAAATGAGCGATAGAGACTTAGGTATGTTAATAATTGATTGATGCTAATGTTAAGTCCTTTCTCGCTCAGGAATTTAGAATTTTACTACTTTTGTCAAGCATTATTTTGCTAATATCAGTGAAGATTTCTTCATGTTTTTTTAGGTGCTGGAACCTCATTCAACCCGATGACAACTCCTCAGGTTATAGGAGCACTTGCTAATGCCAACGATGATCCATATAAACCCAAAATGGAATGTCCAACTTGCGGCTTGGTACGTGCATTCCAGGTTCTATGTTTATTCGAGTGTTTCAAATTAGCTAGTGTTTTCCAATCTCACTGTTAACATTCTTGTATTTAACAGTTTATCCGAATTTCATTGCGTTGTTGCTTTAACTTCTCATGTTTCGTTTAGATTCTTTATCGCCATAATTTTTCCACGCATTATCGAATTCACACTGGAGAACTTCCGTTTGCTTGTGAATTTTGCTCAAAGAGGTTCAGGTCGGTTCTTTGTTTGTCATTCAATTAAATCTATAAGCGTATTGTGTTCCTGGTTTATTAGATGTGGGTAAAATGTTGCGAAGAAGTGTTGTCGGGTAGTCCAAGGCTTTCAATAGCGACTACTTACTAATCAGTGTTGTGATTATGTTAGAGCAGTGCTAAAACAGTGCTCAGAAGCTCCTTCAAGCTTATGTTTTCGACACTATTAAGCGCCGAATGCTTGTTAACCCGCCCACTGTTGCGGTATTGTTCATCTGTCGCATTGCTCGCGTCCCGCTATTTTCTCTTGTACAGGCCTGCCATTATGTCTCCTTGGTGCCATGAGGTTTTATCTCGCCGAGTCTCCTAAAATTCTCCGAAACATCGAGTCATGCTTTTTTGTCATTTTCGACGGTTCATTTTTTTCCTATAGGTGGCGCTCCACTTTGCACTCTTTTGCAAGATATATTAGTTTGCATACGCGGGCCGAATTGCCACACTAATTTGATGTGAAGTGTTTCTTATATTTGGTGATTATTGCGTTTTTACTTCCAGGACGAGTTCGTCGTTGAAGGTTCACGTTCGAGCACACACTGGTGAAAAGCCATACATCTGCCCGTCTTGTGGTTATTCAACGATAACAAAACGCAATCTTGATCGTCACATTGAAAATCACCATGTGCGAACAGGAGGGTCCAAAGGTCCAGCGACAAGGAAAAGCAGGTGCGTAATGGAAACGTTTTCTTGGCGCAAATACTAGAGATGTCTTTAAGAACAAAAAAAATCGACAAATTCATTTCGTTTGTATTGTTTTTTTTTCGACGATTTTCAGCTTGTTTAGGTATCGGGAAAGTATTGACATGGAATGGGTCGAGAACGTTGGATCACAAATGGTCTCTCATTACGACAGGAATTACAATGAAAATCCGGAAGTTTGTTGTTTTCCCCTGTGTTTCATTTTTGAGCAACGCTTTGGCTTTTTATTTATTCGTATAATTGCAAGAAGTTAGTGATAACTTTCAGAATGCGTCAGGGTGGCATAAGAGCGCTGGTTCAAACACACCACAGGAATCATCGGCGTTATGACGGCGTACCGTCGTATTTATTGAATGTTGTATATTTGTCTGTGATAGTAATAATGAAGATTCTGTCCCCAAATTTCGTTTCACTTCCATCCGTCTTATTTCGTCGTTGGTTCCGACCTCTCCTATATTTTTCCACACAACGAAAACAATGGCTATCGGCGATTCATATTCTTTTCGAAGCTTATAGGATCCGCATTTCACAATAGCTCCCTTTCTAATTCGTGCGGTTGGAATGAGAAAGGTGCTGTGTGTCGCGGAGAAAAACGATGTGGCAAAGGGAGTCGCTTCGATACTCTCAAAAGGTTGCATTTTGAGTGTTTGGCTATAGTGAGGATGAAGTATGCACAATTACCCCTTATCTTTACCTTTCATAAATTTTTACTATATTTTCCTCATTCTCTTTATTTTTCTCTTAGCTGGCAAAAGCAGGAGTTTCCGTAAAAGACAGTGTTTTGTTCATTAAATCCTAGTTGACTGTATTCATTACGTCCCACGGCACTTGTCAACCGCAAG